AAATAAAATAAAATAAAAAAGAATAAAAAACAAAAAATAAAAAAAGAAAAAAATTTTTTTTTTCAATTCACAAAAAATATCACAAAATTACCAAAATAATAAGGTTCAAAAAAATTTTCAAAAAAAGACAAAACATTTATTCAGTTTACTCCGATCAGCTCCGCCACGGATACAATTTTTTGAAAACTTGAAAACATTACTTATACTTATAACACCGCTTATTTCCTATAGGGTCACTCCGCTGCGCAAAACATGCATCTCCCCTGCATGTGCATATAAATGGTACGAACATGTAAACCCACGTGCATTTGCGAAACGTTCCGAGTATTAAATTCTCACATTTGCGTTTCGCACAAAACAACTTTCGTCCGCTTCACTTTTCAGTTGCAATAAATATTTCTGGTAAGCGGGAAGTCCGTTCGAAATTATTTCGTCATTTTCTAAAATATTTCTACTATTTAGCGCATTTGCAGTGTTGCAGGCATGTTATTTATAACTTAAATTAATTGCAGAAATTATGTTTTTAAATAATTGTGTTAATTCTATTTTGTAGTGCGTGCGTACACAACCGCTGGAGCAATTCAATGACACAGTGGCAAGCAATGTGCAAGTGACGTCGGTGGAAAGTACAACTGAGCGAGCGCAGCCGAAAGCCAAAAATTATTTACCGTTGAAAAGAGAACACTGGGCCGTTATGTGTGCGGCGATTTCATTAATTTTCGTGCTTGCATCAATATGTAAATACATGTTTTGGCCAAATGTGCGCATTTGCGGCTGCAAACAAGTGGAATTGCAACGTACTGGGCATGTGAATAATAGAGAATTGCGACCACAATATTCTTGGGATGAAAGTAATCGAAAGTGAACTTATTTTTATTCTGATAGTTTTAAGAGTCATTATGTCTATATTAAATGCATATATTTATTTAGGATACTTATATAATTTATGCGGACTTCACAGTCTATAGATATCGTCGTAGACTTTATATATTTCATACAAAAATCCTCACATAAATTCAGTATAAATGTCTATCTACATTTGTATGTGTTTAAGAAACTGTGTAATCCATGTCAATCCATTTTAAAATTAATGAAACTGAAATATATTTTGGAGACCCAAAAAAGTAAAAATAAAATTTCACCACAACGAAATTTCTTGTGAAAAATTTTTATATATTTATGTTTACTGCATATACATACAGATACCATCTTTTATAAGAGTTCTGCTTTCTGCAGAATGGATAAGGCAGCGAAACAAATGGGTCTGGCAGTGAATGAGTGCAAGACGAAACACCTCCTGTCATCAAGCAAACAGTGGTCGATTTTGAAGTCGTAGATAACTTCGTCTACCTTGGGTCCAGCATCAACATCAACAACAAAGTTAGTCTCGAAATTAAACGCAAAATATCTCTCGCCAACAGATGCTACTTCAGACTTAGTAGGCAATTGAGAGTTAAAGCCCTCACTCGACGAACAAAAATCAAACTCTATAATATGACAACATCTGATAAGTCAGCCTTAGGAGTTTTCGAGAGAAAGGCTCTGCGAAAGATTTATCGCCATTTGCGCGTTGGCCACGGCGAATATCGCATTCGATGGAACGATGAGCTGTACGAGATATACGACGACATTGACATAGTTCAGCGAATTAAAAGACAGCGGCTACGCTGGCTAGGTCGGGTCGTCCGAATGGATGAAAATACTCCAGCTCCAGCTAATGACTGGTTCTTGCCTGATCTTCAAGACTTTTGGTTAGACCCAGACAACGCTACATGTCACCCAGATAACAAAACATTTTATTTATTGAAGGAAACTTTTAGTGTACGCATTTTAACGCTTCGTGGGCTTATAGTGTAGCCTGTACAATCATGCAATTTAACACCGCCGAGTTATATTTTGTAAGGTTATGTGAAATCGCTTACTTCCAAAAAAAAATCCGAGACGAATGAGGCCTTGGAAAGGAATAGCGTTAGTGCCGACGTATGGTCCTAATTGTTGGAAAAAGAAAAGAAAAAATCTAAATACAACTGCGCATACGTCATAAGACTTATTAGCCCAGAGTTGCACCTGATTTCATGATAGTAGCGGACTCTATGAAGTGAATTTTCACTTTCCTCCAGCAAGTGACCGTATATGTGAAAATCTTGTATCCGATTTACGCTGATTATTTTCCTAATATCAATTTATCGTCAATCTTGTATTATTACCGAACTATCATTCTCTCATTTTGGCAGGTTTTTGAACCCCGAAATTCCCTTCGCGGATCCGTCACTGGATATCAGCAAAAAAACACTTCTAAAATTTTGCTCAAATTAGATAATAAAAATATGAAATGTCAGAACAAATGTCAACTAATATATTGAAATAATTGAATTATTAAATTGAAATTTTAAAGATGTAAATAATTTTAATAGTTTTGTGTAATTTACACTACAAATCTTTTCGCATCCAGCAAAGTCAGACCCCGCAAATGTCACAAATCTGGAAACTGCTTTTACTACTAGCAGTGCTCTTAAAGCTTCAGGTAAGTTACAGAGTTAACTCAGAAACGCTTTCCGCATGATATACAAATGTTGTTGTTTTCTAGCGCGCAACGTCAGAGTTTGCAATAGATTACAATGCGCTTGACATGATGCCCGTTAGGGAGGCAGAGGAGAAGAGCGTAAACGAGGTTTATAGAGCAAGCGATAATGATTCCCAGAACAGCAAAGCATGGGACCAAACAAAGCTCTGGTTTGTTGTTGTTTCGTCGATTTCATTGTGTTTTCTTATATTGCCATTAGTCATCTATTTATTGTGCCCCAGTGCACGTATTTGTGGATGTAAGCCAGTTACGCTGCAACGTACTGGAAATAATTTATAATTGCAATGATTATATTTCCGATAAAACGCCTTAAAAGATGTTTTAAATTTGTTTTGATTTGCGAAATTGAGAAAATATCACAGCGAATTTGTGGAGGCAGTGAGATGGGAGGAATAAAGCTTGAACTTAACTGCTAGTTTAGGTGTATGAAATACTAAGGGAACTTATAGAGATATTCACAAGCAGATTTATTTACCTAAATAAAGCTTGGAAAAGATATCTCAGTAATGTCTTTTCAGCATATTTGATGGTAACCCCTTTATAGAGGGTTACAGAAATAAGTAAATTAAGAAAAGGAAATTATTATTGTCTTACTCTATGATTTCCCTTTAATCAAACTCTTTCTGTATTCAAAGCGCGCTACCTAAAACTTAACTTAAAACAAAAAGATTGAGTTTTTTTAAGTAGCCGCCATTTTTCGAAACCGGCATTATGACATTTGTATTGATTGGGAATCAACCTATTTTGATTCTGGGAAATCGCATACGCGATCTATCCTTAATAAAGGAAAAACTATTTTTTTTTTTTGGTATTTTTCCTTAATATTAAATAACAGACAAAAATTGGTGTTTGTTTTTTTAAATTTTCAATCATTTTTAAATTTTTTTCTAAATAATAAAAATATATACATTTTCAAGTTCTTGTAATATTTTAATTTTTTTGCCATATGAACCACCCTTTTTTCCATAGTTATTAAATATGAAAATAATAACGTTCAAAATAGCAGCTTGAGCAGGCACACTGCAATTATAAATCTAATAACAAGCGCTAATATATTCTTCGAAATACAATTTAAGTTGAGAGATGAATTATTTTCTCACATAAAATAGCATGCAGAGTACAGATTTCCAATATCTGTGCTACAAATGGACTATATGTGTGTTCAGTGATAATTACAATAAAATTGAATGCAATTATGATCCACCTTTGTAATCTAGTTTTTTTTTATAATATGTATATATATTGTCGATAAATAGCCGACAGCTTCAGTTTCACTGCATTTCATCAAGGGTTGGGAAGTGTTTTTTCTTAATAAAATGTACAATAAATCGTGTTCATTATTGTGTGTGCTGTTCGCAATACAGGTTTGTGCCACTGTGTGTGAAAGAATTTTAGAAACAATATTTATAGTTGACATTAGTTTACAGCATTTGCACAGCCATTAGAAGATGACAAGGATACACAAGAAGTAGTCGATATTAAGCCGCCAAAAGAGCAAAGCATAATATCGGATACACCAGGTGTGCAGGAGTTCAAAAAAGACATAGTGAGTCACTTAATAGCAAGCCTTGGGGACGAGAAAGGAGACGAAACTGGTGTATACCGTGGGCAATTGTCTTCAGCAGAGGTAAATTTGCCCTGCTTGCCAAATGATGCTGTTAGAATACATGTGCTTAGAAGCAATTTTCGGTTGCCAGAGCGCCTTTTCCATGCACCAAAGAGATGCTCGGAGGAAGAGAAAAAAGAAGCTTAAAAATTTATATATTTGTATTTTTTTTTTTCATATTTTGACTTTAGTATTGTGAATTATTAGCAAGGTCTTTTTTAAGTATAAAGGAATAAAATAAACAAACTATTTAGTAGTCGAAAAAGTATTTTCGTATTTTGTCAATAGATGTCATTGCAGTTGTATATGGGCAGTGCTACCAATCACATTGTTTCATACCAGCTTGGAAAGGTGAGATTTTAAGCTTCATTTAACCAGAAAAATATTAAATTTGGGGAAGTTGAAAAAATGTTATAGGTATTCCAAAATTAGTGAAAATAATGAAGAAATTCGCTATATTTTGAAATTTTTGTATAAAAAAAGGTAACAATGGCACGCAAGCCACCAAGAAATGAATGATGTGATAATATCTCTAGCGGAAAAATGACAAAGAGAGGTCAGCCATAATGCTACATATTTATTTATTTCATTATTAGTATAAATATGAAGCAAATAAGTTGAAATTTGATTAGAAATACGAAAAGACTTTTTCGACTAGCCAACATTGTAATGAATAAAACAGAATGCCTTTTGTGTTTGAAGGATGCAGAAGCTTCTGACCCCAAACGTCCACATTAAGCCCTTTGTATTCCCAAGTGTTACTGAATTAAGCACCATTGAGAAACTTGCAGGATTTTAAGGAATTTTGCTCCTCTTGGAGACCACGAAACAGGCACGTGACGTTAGATTATGCGCTCACTGGAAGTTTCCTTCAATAAAGTAATTGTTTCGTTGGCTGGATGGCATATAGCGTTGTCTGGGTGCAACTAAAAGTCTTAAAGGAGCAAATCGAGCAAGGAAAAGTCATGAAGGATGGCTTTATAGTGTTCTCCATTGACCGTAAAGTCTACCATATGCTTTATTTTTGAAAAAATATGGTCCAATGATTGTCTTTGCCCATTTAGCACAGCCAACCGCGAGTTTCGAAAATGTCACTGCGTCTATCTTCTAGATTATTAACACCACAAATGCTACTATTCCTTTACTATCGTGTTCATTCAACCACAAGTGAGTTCATGACTTATTTTACCGCTGAACAAATCCATTTTAAACTTTATAATTATTAATATTTAATATTTATATGACAATAAATGTTTTTGACTTTTAATGAATAGATTACTCCATTTATTTTCTACTGGGTATTTGGTAAAAGCTCCGAGTATTAAATTCTCATATCTTTTCAGTCCGCTGCAATATAATTTCAGTTGCTTTTGACAATCAAATAAATAATTGTGAAACCCTTCTAATCTATCCAATTTTAATCGAAATATGAAAATTATTATATAATATGTACTAGAATAAAAGGGATTTGGGTAACGAATAGTTGTCTCATTGAAACGTATAATGTTTTAAGCCATTTTTGTTTGGTGGAAAGCGCTGGCAAAAAGAGAAGAGAGAGTAAGTGGAGAGGAGCGGTGAGCCTTTTGACTAGTGAAGGGATGTCTAGATACATAATTTCAATCATCGAGCTATTTGACAGTCAGACTTTTTTGGGAGCTTGGCCATAGCGGCATTGCTGGAAACTGTAACAACAGAATGGAAAAGGGTTCTTTTGGTCCCTGTGGCTCACTACTGGTGAGGTTGGTTGTTCTTTGAGTTTAAATCATATCAACACCGTTCCTATGGCAGTTTGGTCTACGTAACCGGAATGGACCCGGAGTTTTTATCCGGCAAAAACTGTCAACACGACAGAGCTCTTCCTCTACAACAACAACACTCTTCCTCCTCGAATGCCTCGTCTTTGCCAGATCCAGCCAAAAACACCCCAAATATCCCCTTTAGCCATTTAGTCGAAATAGTGGAAATATAAATAAAACATCTCAGAAGATTTGGATAGGTTAAAGGCGTTTTTGCCGACAGTTGATTTCCAACTATAAGAGTGTTTTTTTTTTATTCGTTTGGCATCACAAAGAACTATACATAACAGACTAAGTACGATCTCCTCGTAATACTGAGGGATCAGCAATTCAACCCAACTGACCCTAACACATGGTCATGCAAGTATCATAAAATTATTCTCTCTGAATCAATATTAGATCTCATAGACGGACAAATATTTTCGGTTAATCCTTATATGAAGTTTGACGTCGTTATAACCCGATTTCAGTCACTTTCATAATGTATGGAGAATTGCTTGAAATACTTGTTTTCAGAAAGCTTGGTTGATAAAATTTAGTGGATTGTGTATTATGTCCATTAAAATAGAGAGATAACCGTTTCGTCTGTTACTTCTTTCATTCTTTAAGATGTGAAATTAATCTCTTGGGTATATTTTAACTAAGTAACAAGATAAAACAAAATACCGCTTAATTTTTACAATAAGGACCACCCTTTATTCTCTGGACCATATTCTTAGAAACACAATTTTATTTGTAAGATGATTTGTTTTGAAGCAGAAATCAACTTAAAGAGAATCGGTTTACATTACCGATAATACATGCACACGAACTCTAGGTGTATTAAATGATAATTACAACAAAGTTCAATGTAATTTAAGATTATTCTTTTTGTGTTCGCAGTCAATACTATAAACCTACTATAAATTTGCCGGCGAATGAACGATTATTCCAGTCTTATTGCATCTCACTTATCGTTAGGAGGTATTATACTTTAAAAAATGAGCAGAATGTTGTTTTTATTATTGTGTGTGCTGTTTGCATTACAGGTTGGTCAATATACATATGTGACATAATTTAAAAAAACATATTCATAGTTGACTTTAGTTCACAGCATTTGCACACCCATTGGAAGATGGCAAGGATACGCAAGAAGTAGCCGACAATAAGCCGCCAAATGCAAAAAACCTAATACCGGATACACCAGGTGTGCAGGAGTTCAAAAAAGACATAGTGAGTCACTTAGTAGCAAGTCTTGGGAATGAAGAAGGAGACGACTCTGGTGTCTACAGCGCTCAACTCTCTTCAGCGGAAGTAGATTTGCCCTGCACAAATGATACTGTTAGAATAGCAGTCATTAGCAGCAGTTTTTCATTGCCAGAGCGCTTTTTTCATACACCCAAGAGATGCTCGGACGAAGTGCAGTGAATAAAATAATAAACTAAATAAATAAATAAATAAATAAATAAATAATGTTAATGAAGCATATACATATATTTTAATTTAAAAAAAAATTTCCGAAAGTTCGAATTACATAAGAACTTTGAAAAATTATTTCATGTGAAGTCAATTCAATAGAAAACTCCAACCTTGCTCAATACTTTCAAAACTGACCTATTGAAGCTCGCTAAATTTTGCTATTGAAAAGGTTGCTAGAAACATATCTAATATTACACTTAATTAGATGACAATATTGGTTTTCACTTGCACACAAACAAATTTCGAAATTAAAAAAAAAACTTTTTGTTTTTGTCAAAACTTACCTTTCCAAGTCAGTTACTAATTTCTTTTTAATGTCATTACACATTTATTTTTAATGTCGAACAAACGAATTTCATTTCATCAATTGCAGAAAGAAATCGGCAAAGTGTGCAACTAAGTACATTGATACATACATATGTACATAAATATATGTATGTATGTATTTGCACACAATTGCCCCACAATGGCGAAAACGCAAAGCTTCATACACATATACATACATACGTATTAGTTTGACCGCTGTCATTAGCCGAGCATAGCAAAAGTGCCAATTTCAATCAGCGACGAAAAGTACGAGCTAAACTTTCCATTTAAGTACGACAAAAGTCCGTTTGACAAAAGACAAAATTAAATTTCGTGCATCATCTGGACATAGTCGAGTCAGCGCGCATTGTCCCATTGATGAATTGAAGTGAGTTTCATTTTGGCATTTATTTAATCGCCACCATATAATTATGTGCACATGCAGAAACATATATACACAGCAATGTTCGTATATACGTAAATACATACATGTATGTACATATAAGTAAGTGTCGTTGGCAACAATTCGAAATGAAAAACTCATCGGCCTGCGGCGCATGATAAGTCCAACGATTATTGTGCTGCAATGAGCTTGCTAGACAAACTGTATTAAAATTGAAAAGTACGCAACTTCATTGAAATTAAAAAAAAAAAAATAAATAAATAAAGGTTAAACCTCAGAATTTTTAACAACAACACAGCAATAATATTGAGACTGCCCACGCGCGCAAATGATATTAGAGCTGAGCAGCTGGTGGAGGAAGAGGCGTAACTTGAAGAAAAATTTTCTTAATGAAAACTCTTCAAATGAAACAAGGTAGCTTAGTTATTTAATTACTACGGCAATCTGTTGTCCAAGGCCTTCCATACTATTTGTGACTACAAGTGATTGGTTGCAACATAACATTTCATAGTTGGATCGCACAGTGAAATTAAAGAGCGCTTATAGCTGCATACGTCTACCATGTTTGATAAGAAAAACACAATTTTATAATTGAAAATACACTTTATTATTCAGTATGATTTCCCTGAACATTTATACACTTGCTTGTGTATCTTATCCTTGAAGTAAAAATTCGTTCAACAGCCGTTATGACCTCTTCATTTGATGACAAACGTTTGCACGCATAAATTTTTTGAGTTCTGGAAACAAATAGAAGGCGCTGGGGACTAAATCTGGTGAATACGGTGAATGCTCTTGTGACACGATGCACTGTCCTGAATAAAATGAATTTTTTTCTTCTAAAAACCGGGCCTTTTTTCACAAACTTTGTATTTCAACTGGTCCAAAATGTTGCAATAATATTCAGAATTGTTTTACCAGTTTGAAAGTAATCTACAAACATCTCAAAAAACTGATGCCATAACCTTCTTTTCCGATTTCCGGACACAAACTCGTTTCGAAACCGAACAACCAGGTTCATATCACTTTATAGCATTTTGTTTTGATTCAGGATCATGGTGACAGACCTAACTCTCATATATAGTGATGAATCAATACACAAAATCCATTTTATCCGTTTTAAAACGCTCCAAATATTGCTGAAAAAGTCGCTATCGAATTTTAGCGAAAGCGGCACTCATTGTTCACACAGCTTTCTAAAACCAAAAAAAATTCACTTAAAATATTGCTGACATTAATAAGAATTTTATCACTGCACGATATTCAATTTTTTCCATTCACGGCGACAGTCAATGGTTTGTATCAAATAGAAAGAAAGCAGTTCTTCGTTTTTGCACAACGAGAATGAACCGTACCATCCTACCTTGATCCTTCGTTAGTTTTTCTCAAAATTTTCAACCAATAACGTGCCGCAACTACCTTGTTCGTCTGATTTAGCTCCATGTGACTTCTAGATATTCAGCAATTTCAAACGATCGCTCCGGGGAAAGTTTTGAGTCAGTTGAAGACATTAACGCTACCCGCATTGAAGGCTATTCCACGACTGTGGGGGTGGATTGCGAAAAATGTTTGCACAAGTAAATTAGGACCAAGGTGACTACTTTGAGGGGGACGAAATATACTTTTTTGTTAATGGTAGTATATGTTAATTTATATATTAATGCGTTTGGGAACAAATGATTTATGCTTGAGACATTTTCTAAGCTAAGATGATAAAGGTACTCATCATTTTGAAAATTTTTATTAAATTTTTAGAACACTCCTAATGGAATATGATACTCCTATGAATGGATAAGGAATTTCAGAAATACGTGGACAGCACCTGGAAATTGAGAAGATAAAACTTCGCAGCAAAGAAAGGTCTGGATTAAAATATGCAGAGTCTCTATATTATTTTTATTTTGGTATATAAGTTGAAGATATTTTGAGATATTGCTTCAGGGCCGCATATCGAGGATAATACTTCCCGCAAATGAAGGTCTACAATATAGATAATGTTATTCACAGAAAAGCAATATGTGATTGAAATCTGTCCGAGAGAACTAGTTTTATACACTAAAAATAATGTGCCCAACGTTCGAAAAATATTTACGCCTCATTGGTTAATCTTGCGGAAATAAAAATGAAAATTTGCAAGTATTAACGCAATACAAAATGCTAACAAGCAATACTGACAATTAAATATTTTTCTACCATTAAAATATACCCACAGACATAAATACTGCATTGTAACAACAGAGTTAACGCTACTTTGGAGTTAGTACTCTTTTCCGGCGCCTCCCACACTATTCAAGCACGCAGCAAGCTACGCGATATTTACGACCGTTGCTGTGACATAACACGAGCTACGCAATGACGACGCCGTTACAAACAAATATCATTAATAAGTACGTCGAGCGACTCTTCAAAACCTAGTTAATAAAGTTGTATATTCAGTGTTCGGTTGCGAAAGACGATTTCTGGGTTAATCGCAGGTGTGCAACTGCATTTGGGCTTACTTCTTTGATTAAGGTATTTCGAAAATAACGATGTCAACGTGACATTTGCTTTCCATATGATTTTCTCACCGATAATGTTGTTAGGTAAGTGCAGAAATGAAGAGTGATAATGCTGGGAAATTTTTGGGAAAGAAAAATTTTTAGGATGAGAAATGGTTTAAATTTAAATTAATTAATTTTTTATTTTTTTTTCTTCATAATGCAGAGAGTATGTCAGACTATTAAGACAGGGTGAGAAAGAGATCAAGAGAGAACTCATGTAGCTGGCAAGCCAATGACTTTTTCGAATTTTTTGAGCTTCGGAGCAACTGAAGTTAGCGCTTTTTCTTGTTTCAGGGATTATTAGTAAACAAAAACTTAAAAAAAAAAAAATATTTTAATTTTAAAAAATTTAAAAACAATTTAAAAAATTTTTTAATCAGATTTAAATCAGAAAAATTTTAAATAAAAAAAATTAAAAAAAAATTAAAAAAAGTTAAAAAATAAAAATAAAAATTATTTTTGGAAGTTGCAGAAAATTACACTTTTAATAGCATAACCAATTTAACGGTAATTATTTTTTTTAATATTTTTGAGTTTGGTATGTAAACTTGCAAATCATGTGCTATATGTGTTGGGCTGTGAAGATTAGTTAACAGAGTTTTCACACTTATAATTCATAAAAATTATTACAATACGTAGTTTAGGTCAGAAAATCTGACGAAGTTAAGATACAATAATTTTTCAAATCCAAAATATACTCAAAAAACCTAAAAATAGAACCTCAAATTTCTTAGCAAATGTCCAAATTAGATTGTATCAACTTCCTTTGCTGTCAACAAATCAAATTAATTTTCAGCAATTAAAAGCTGCACACCATAATGTGACAAGCACACTCATTCAAATCTTCTACGCAACAAAGAATTCTCTTCATTTGCCAGCAGCCGCACAGCAACAACTACAATAACAATATCACATTCTTTACTAGCAATTGTTTCGAAGTCCCGACAAGCGCGGCGGCTAAGCAACAATACAAAAAAAAAAATCACGTCGTTGTGCACCTAACGAGCCTGTACTTTTGCGTGCTGCCGAGCAATTTACTTACATACACACAGCTTAATTTGGTCAACCAGCAGAAATGTCGTAAGGGCCAATGGCAAATCCCTAAATGTTCTCAAATTTCATTTTTTTCCATTACGGTTTGCCATTTCTCTACGTTAGAAACTCGCCATTTGGTATTTTTGCCGTCATCACAGCGCGGCTTAATAGGCTCATTTCCTTTTCCGCTTCCTGCTTTGCCAACGGCAAGTGCGCTATTCAGGCGCGCCATAAGCTGAACGTTAGGCGTTCATGTATACAGTTAATTCACTTCTGAGTTGAAAATTTAAATAAATGGAGTTCAGGCGACTGTGCGAATGTGGGTGGGAGATCATAGACTGAGAGTGAGACTAGATACAGTGCAACTTGTTGGATTTGGGACAAATTTAAATATTTTGATTAAGTTTAAGGTAATAATTATAACCGTAGTGAAAAATATGAAATATAATATAATTATATAATATAGGATTACACCTATTATAATATTGATAGTTAGTTAGATTCATACGCGTTTAAGTACCCAAAAATGGTCATGTCGTATAGGATATTTTCAAACAATTTTTTAGGTTAACTTCACGTACTCTCTTTCTCCTTCATACCTTATTTTAACAAAGTACAAGAAGTTCGTCTCAAAAAATGCTGTTCTTAACGAACCCGTGTCCACCAGCTATTAAGGTTATTCACATATATTTTTAAGGTTAGTTACAATCAAAAA